ACACAAACGAACTACATCTAATGGCCAGAACTCTGCAGTTTTCACTCATTTACAGGCCAGCGGTCACTCTTTCAGAGATGAGGATGAAGCTTAAAAGCCTGAATTTTGCCTGAAACTCTCAGACTGAAGAAGTCTCTTGGAGGAGAGACGAAACGTTTCATTAGAGAAGAACCCGTCCAGAAAACCTATACAATTTTTTTCTTTTTGATTTTTTACCTGGATTACTGAGATGCATCAGGACAAAAAAAAAAACCACTTTAGCCACCCCTGTTTCACTCCTTGCAAAAAAGTCTAGCTCCGCCCCTGCAGCAGTCACACCAGCATCAGATGGTCTTACGTGAGCAGATTATTGGCTCCAGGGCACGTTTGTCACTTTATTTAAATTCACTTGAAAGCTGTTTAATTAGATCCGAGTAATAATGTTTACACATCCAGTTCTGACATTCCCTCTTTTGATTGAATGGGGGAAATGTGATCCCAAACTGGTGATGTTTGAACAGGTTCCTTGGTTCAGATTTCTAACATGGGGTTCTAGGGAAGGTTCTTTAGGCTGACTCAGAACAGCTGGTTCTAACCTCTAACCCCTACAACCAGCCCCCTCTCTCCCCCTCCTTTCCAGAGCCAGACCCACCGGCTGCAGGGGGGCTCGTGCTCCGGTCTGCAGCGAGTCTGAAGGAAGATTCCCACGTGTCTGTAACCTCAGGGAATTCCTGAATGAGCAAAATGACTCATGACAAAAGACTTTTGTTTTTCTTTTTTTACCTGGGGTCTTTCAATTTCCTGCTGATAAACTCTGTTCTTCCAAACTCATGTTTATGTTTGTGTGTGTGTGTGTGTGTGTGTGTGTGTGTGTGGGGCGGGGGGGTATTTTTATAGTACCTTGTTAATAAATTCAATTGAAAGTTTCTTAACGAGAGAACAAGCAGAAACCTTACGTTGACCTTGAAGTCAACTTATATTTATCTACTTGTTAGTATAATTGGTAATATTGGTGAATATGTTCAGGACTCTGAGCTTCTTATAAGGTTTAGGAACAGTATGAAAAGAGATCATGCAAAATAAATTTCACATTTTTTATTAAGTCCAACAATTAATTTAAGTGGGTTTTTTTTTGTTTTTTTTTGGATCTTTCAATGCAAACAAGTCAGATTTTTGTTCAACGTGTGCAAAAATTAACTTGGCAATGTATTGAATGTATTTGTTTTTGTTTCTTTTTCACATTCATTATATTTTAGGAAACTGGGTCATCTTAGAACAGTTCATCTGGACGTTGTTGGGACTTCTTCAAAGCCTCTGCAGGTTTGTGCCGCACTTCTCAGGAACACATTGGGTTGCAGCAGATTCAGAGTCTAACGGCTTCCTATCATGACTTTCCTGTGTGTGTGTGTGTGTGTGTGTGTGTGTGTGTGTGTGTGTGTGTGTGTG